TATCCAAAAAAAAAAGGGTTAATTTCACAAACGGTCACTGAACTTACAAAAAAATTACAAAATGATCACTGAAGTTTAAAACTTTCAGTAACGGTCACTTATGTATTGAGACGCTTTCAAAAACGGTCACTGAAGTTTAAAAAGTTTCTGAAACGATCACTAAAGTTGAAAAAAATACACATCTCTTTATCCAAAAAAAAAAGGGTTAATTTCACAAACGGTCACTGAACTTACAAAAAAATTACAAAATGATCACTGAAGTTTAAAACTTTCAGTAACGGTCACTTATGTATTGAGACGCTTTCAAAAACGGTCACTGAAGTTTAAAAAGTTTCTGAAACGATCACTAAAGTTGAAAAACACTTTTTTAGTTTTTTTGGTTACATTTGCGGCAATTTCTCGGCTACTTCCAACCACCGATACCATCAAATTTTGATACCGTTGGAAAGTCCACAACGTCCTCTTCAATTACTACTCAAAACCTCTCTGTAACACCAAGGAATTCAACCGAAAAATCACTGGAAAATTCACCCCAAAAAATCTGAAATCTGCCCAGATTTTTAGATTTTTGGGTGACTTTTACGGCAATTTTTCAGCGACTTTCGACCACCAAGACCACCGGATTTTGATACCATTGAAAAGCCCACAATGTCCTCTTCAATTACCATCCAAAATCTCCCCCAAACTCCAAATGATTGGGCCGAAATAAACCCGCAAATCGGCATCCCAGAAAGACAAAAATCTGGGATGTCAATTCTGTGAGTTTATTTTGATCGAATCCTTTGGAGTTTTGGGGAGATTTTGGATGTAATTAAAGAGGATATTGTGGGCTTTCCAACGGTATCAAAATTTGGCTATTTTGGCGGTCGGAAGTTGTCAAAAAATCGCCGCAAAAGTCCACCAAAAATCTGAAAATTTGGCCAGATTTTTGCCTTTTCGGGTAGCCAACTTTGTGGGTTTATTCCGGCCGAATCCTTTGGAGTTTGGGGGATATTTTTTGTTGTAATTGAAGAGGATATTGTAGGATTTCCAACGGTATCAAAATCCAGTGGTATCGGTGGTCGGAAGTAGTCAAAAAATTGCCGCAAAAGTAGCTCAAAAATTTTTAAACTTCAGTGACCATTTTTGAAAGTGTCCCAATATTTAAGTGACCGTTACTGAAAGTTTTAAACTTCAATGACCATTTTGTAATTTTTCTGTAAGTTCAGTGACCGTTTGTGAAATTAATCCAAAAAAAAAAGAAACAAACAGAAGGGTTAAAAATAAAATAAAATAAAATAAAATGTTTAAATTCATCTACATCCAATTTTATACTTAGAGTCTGTTTGATTGACATGAAAAATATCACCTAGAAAAGAAAATGTTTTCCTTCTTTTGTGGAAAATAAAAATTACCTCCGCCCAAGGAAAATGTTTTCCTTAAAAACAAGAAAAATTGGCATATTTTCAAAAGTTGAAAAATGTTTTCTATGAAAAAAATTAACAATCAAACACCTCAAGTAGGAATTTGGATGGAAAATTGATATTTTTCATGGAAAATAAATGTAATCAAACACACCCTTAATGACATCAAGACCACCCAATTTGATTTTGTTTCACCACGACCACCCAATTTTATACTCAGTCTCACCATGACTACTCAATTTGATTTTATTTAACCATAAATACCCAAATATCATATGACGTATCATTATGACCTCCCAATTTTTTTTTCACCATTTTCACTAATCTTATAAGGGCTAAAACAGTAAATTTGCATTATATATAAAAAAATTACTTATAAAAATAAAAATAAAATAAAAACTTATTTAAAAAACGTTTTTAAAATAAAATAAAACCTTTTTTTTAGAGTTATATATAAATATAAAATGAATAAAAATAATTTTAACAAAATGTTCCTTAAAAATAAATTAAAATAGAAATTATTTAAATAAAATTACTTTGAAAAATAAAATAAAATAAAAACTTATTTAAAAAAACATTTTTCTTTTAAAAAAAAACATTTAGTTTTGTTTTTTTAAATTTATTTTATTAATAAAATGCGAAGTTACAATTTTACTCCTTTTAGGTGGAGGAGAGGAACTCGGTTCTTAAAAAGCTACCGGATTTTATTTTTTAATTTATTTTATATATAAAAAGCTACTGAATTTTTTTAGCCTCATATCTTAAAAGCAGTATTTTTGTCAGTGACTAATCTTTCAATTCTGCCTTCCTAATGTATTTAGAGTTTATTGCTTTTGACTTCAATTTTGTATCTTTCGATATTATTTTGTAATTGTGAAAGTCTTACCGTTGAGAACGGTTAATGTATAGTAGCTAAACATTGGGCTTACAGTATTATCTGATCGTTGCACAGCAAATTGGCCTTTTAATTTGACCCCCCTTTAACGCATAAAAGACGTGTATGTACAACGAGAATCCTTTTATTTATCATTTATTTTTAGATATTATCTGATCGTTGCACAGCAAATGGGCCTTTTAATTTGACTCCCCTTTGACACGTAAAAGACGTGCATCTACAATGAGAATCCTTTTATTTATCACTTGCCCTTTTTACTCCTCTACACTCCGACAACCTTAAAAATTAAAGAGAATAATGAATGGTTGGAGGCATGGTGTAAAAAGGGAAAAACTTAAAAAGTAGATTCCTCAAAATTCACATGCAACCGTCCTCTATTGTCCGAATTTTCAGTCAATTGAAATTGGACTGCGATGTGCAATAGCAAATAATCTCAAAATTGGATTGCTATGTGTAGCCCCCTGTGGTCTTGACTCTCTTGCTTGTGTGTGGGACCCAGGGATGGCAGTGGGCTGAGCCGAGTCGGCTCGGCTCGTTAACCCACGAGCTCGGCTTGGGCTCATGGCGAGCCGAGCTCGAGTTCGGCTCGGCCCATGAGGTCGTGGGTCGAGCCGAACGGAGCCCACGAGCGGCTTGTGAGCTCGTGAAATTTTTTATTTTTGCAAATTTTTCAAATTTTATTGATAAAATTTTATTTTTTCCACATTTTTGGACGAGTTGGCTCGTGGACCCCCACTCGGCTCGAGCTCGGGCTCGTCAGCCCACGAGCGGAGCCGGCTCGACCCAATTGACATCCCTAGCGGGACCTGAGATCTAGGGGAAGTATTCTTGCCCTGGAAGTATTCTGCTGTAAAAGAGGGATTGAGGATGGAATTGATGTTTAGGTTGTTGGATTACAAATGATGAATCAAATCTCTTATTATGTTCCTTTCAGGTACTTGGAGTCAGTTTTTCTCCCAATGGCTATCATTTGGCTAGTGGTGGTGAAGACAATACTTGCCGCATATGGGATTTGAGGAAGAGAATCTTTATACATAATACCTGCTCACTCTAACTTTATATCTTAGGTCAAATTTGAATCTCAAGGGGGATACTTTTTGGTTACTTCTTCATATGATATGACAGCTAAGGTACCGAACTTTGTTACTAATCATACGAAATGACCCATGTGAGAGTCCTCATATTTGGACACATGGCAAGCATGCAAAAAGGGTCAACATTCGAGACTGGCACGTTAAGCGTCGAGATTGTCTCACTGAGAATAGCCAAAGTAGTCATATCCTTTTTTCCAAAGTGGTTTACCTTCTGTTGCCGAGCTCCCTGAATATCCAAAGTCCTTTACAACCAGAAGAGGGTCAGGCAAGCACGTCTTCAAAATTGATTATTGATGTGAGCTGATGTGACGTACGCAGTTAATAAGTGTTAGAGATGTCAGCCTAGATTTGTAGGGTGTTTGATCTCTTGTCAAAAGTCTATCAATGTAATTAATGTGAGTTAGAGTTAATGTGACACAAAGGGTCGGCAGATCAAACCACGTGGATCCAATCCAACGATAATCACGTCGGTCTGATCACTATAAATAGGCAATTCTTATATCAGTTAAAAGGATCTTGAAAAATACATGGAAGAGAACACAATACACTTTCATTGTCTACTATTCATCTTCTTCTACAAACATACTGTTTATATTTTACATACGGTAAAATACGTCCACGTGTACATCGTCCTTTAACGATACCTGTTGGCCATTTTCGAAGGTCAATAATCTTCTTAATCTATGCTTCTCCACTCTCATTATGTTTTATGTTTGTTAAAATCATGTTTCTACGCATTTCCCTTATCCCTTTCTTTCTATCTCAGGTGTGGTCATCTAGAGATTTTAAGCCTGTAAAGACATTATCTGGTCATGAATCAAAGGTTACGTCACTTGATGTTGTTGGAGGTGAGATTACCTAACCTAAAATCTAATGTAGAATTTATATTTTAAAATTGTTATTTGGTCTGTTTTGTTTCCATGAGCTATTCTTATGTTCTATAATGAGATTGGTAGAATACGAAATGCACATTCATTTTTTCCCCTTTTACGCGGAGGAGAGAAACTCGGTTCTAGGATTGTTGTGTCCATTTATGTGCTTGGCATTCTATCTTGTAATCTTGCTTTGTCCACATAAGTTATAAATGCTAACCATCTGTATTTAACTGGCTTTGGGTATTCATCACTGCTACATAGACCCCTATCATTTTTGCTTGATCTACATAACTACTGAGACTTTTGACCCTTATTGAATCTTTCTATCAGTTATGTTTTACATTGCTACCTGTCCAACACTTGGAAGGAATTAGCGAAGTTGGAAAAGTTTATAACTCTTGGGAAAAAATAAGGGCCGGTGATTAGGCGGTGACTTTAAAATTTTGTTCAATAGATTAATAGACTTCATGAATCATGCATTTCACCCAATATATGATGACGTCAAGTTGAAGATCTCAGCAATTTCTTGACCCTTGCTTTTCCCTTAATTAGGGTTCTGCCAGTGCTGTATAAGCATAGTTTGCTGTCTCGCCAATTTTGATGTTCAGAGTTTTATGTAATTTATTGTTGTTCATCATTTGTTGCAGATGGACAATGCATTGCAACTGTTTCACACGATCGTACAATCAAGCTTTGGTGAGGCAAAGACGATGAGAAAGAGAAGACAATGGATATTGATTAACAAGACTGCCACTTGATTGAGGAAGGCTACAAGGTTGATTGAACTGCTTTCTTTTTAATAAACAAGCAACGTTTTGGAGTAGTTTTGAAGAATTCCAAAACATTTGAAGGCTTTTGATTGAAATTTTAAAGCCAATATTGCTTTCGTTCCTATCCAGCTTCGACTTGAATGTAATACTCTAGTCAATTCAAAAAGAAAAGTCAAACTTAAAAAAAAAAGACAAAAGAAAAGAAAAAGTGGCAGGCGGTGGAAACTAATACAAATCCAAACCAAATTCATAACACACACATATCACACAACACACACACAAGAACGGACCAAAGAAGAAAAGGAGAGAAAAAGAGAAAGGAAAAAGAGGGGGAAAAAAAAGAAAAAGAAGAAAAAAAAGGAAAAATTTGCCAATGTGTTAGGAATTAAGTGCTCTATCCTATTAGGCTTGAATTTCTCAATTTTGAAAGGTAAGTAAAAAGTTACTTACTGTTAAGTTAGGTTTGATTTTGTAGTTGTTAGATTGTTAGGTTAAATTTAATTTTATTGAAGGAGTTAAGTGTAATAAATTATGAAATTGAATAAAATGAAAGAAAAATTAATTTTAGTAATTAAAGAGACGTTAAAAATCGCCTAAACGTGAAATAATTATGTTTGGGTATCGCCTATTTAATTAATGAAATTTCTTAAATTAGTTAATTGTTGATTCAAAAATTATATTATATTGCAGGCGGCGATACGAATATTGGGACAGCGTATCAATCGAATTGATTTTGGTGACACGATAGAGTTTGCTAGTATGACTCAGTTCATAGAATATGTAGTCAGTATTTTGGGACGTATGTTCATGTCTCGATGTGATTTTGCATCACTTGTAGTTAGTTATGGGGCTCACTATGTATTATATATCCATATGTATATTTCATTGTATTTCTTGATAAAAGTGGAGATTTCAGCTTATCTTTATTGTGCTGTGCTATAATTTGGGATTTGTGTGAAATTGATCTCAGGTTGGTTAGTCCTGTTTACAGGGGGAGATAATGCCGAAAATTTGTTAGAAAAATAATGTATAAAAAGTGATATATCGTATTTGTAGTAGCCTTGATGGTGGGTCTGACTTTTAGTTGGTATCTATCATCGGCGCATGCCACGTCTGGATCTAGTGGTGTTACATGGGGCGGGGTGTGTCAGTTTGGTATCAGAGCATGTATTAGAGTTCATGGGTTTGCATTGTACATGCATACATTCTGATGTTTAGCACATCATGCATAACTGTAGGTGAGTCATGCCTCGTGGTGGCAAAATTCGAAGGCTCCAAGATATGTTGCCCCCGTCTCACATTGCTCCTGATAGAGATGAACTGAGAGAGCCCGAGAGAGTAGATAAATCAGTTCACCAGCCTCCTAAACAACGGGGACAGGGAAATGTGATTGGAATTGATCCTATTGCTATTGAAAGAATTGCTATTGCCGTTGCATCTGCTATGCGTAATATTGACAGAGATTTCAGTATTGAAAGGGCTACAAAGTTAGGGGCTAAAGTGTTCACTGGCACAGCCGATCCTGCAGTTGCACAGGCATGGATGACTAAGATAGAGAGAGTATTTGATGTTATGGGTTGCTCAGACGATAGGAAGTTGTGTCTCGCCACTTTCTTATTAGAGGAAGGTGCATACGATTGGTGGCAGTCGGTACGGAGCACATATCTAGACCCTTCCATCATCACTTGGACAGAATTCAGACGTATCTTTTATGATGCCTACTACCCTCGGTCCTATAAAGATGCAAAGCAGGAGGAATTTTTGAAACTAGTACAAGGGCAGATGACAGTTGCAGAATATCAGGTGAGATTTATTGAACTTTCAAAGTATGCCCAAGTTCTGGTAAGCAACGAAATTGATAAATGTAGACGATTTGAAAATAGGTTAATGGAAGAAATTCGATCAGTAGTAACAGCTGCAGGCTGGAATGTATTTGGCAAATTGGTGGAATCAGCTTTGAGAGTAGAAAAGAGCATTTCTGATAGGCCAAGTGGTAGAGAACAAATAATGTTTTGAGCAAGCGGTAATCAGACAATGGCAAGTGTTTCTAGCTATAGACCACCACGAAGAGACAGTAGAGGATTTCGACCTAGTGTGTCCAGTTCAAGTCAATTCAAATCTCGATCACGAGGAAGTCAGGGCCCTAGATTCAGTCCCAATACTGTACAGCAGCCAGTGGCCAGTCGTACTTATACTCAGGGTTCTTCCCAGAGATTATTTACTCCGAGACAGGGCGAGAGTTTTACTAGTACTAGACTACCTTATTGTCAATTATGTAGAAGACCTCATCTCAGCACGTGTTTAAAGTTTAAAGAAAGCGGAGTCTGTTATCATTGTGGTCAAAGCGGACATATCAGAAGAAATTGTTCAGTTCTATCACAGGAGAGTGGTATGGTACGAAGATATTTCCTCAGCAGAGTGCTGACAGTACAAGACAGAATCAGACTCAGAGAGATGAGTCAGTTAATAGAACAGGTGCAAACAATGTGGCCCAGTCCAATATCGCAAGCGGTAGTGGTACAAAATCAAAAGGACAAGTAGGACGATCGAAGACCCAGGGAAAAGTTTTTGCTATGACTCAGCAGGCGGCAGAGGAGTCTCCAGATGTTATCATGGGTATGTTGTCTATTTTCGATAGAAATACTTGTATTTTGATTGATCCTGGATCTACACATTCTTTTATGTCATTTGCATTTGCTTTATATGCAAATCAAAAGCCAGATCTTTTAGGCAGTTGTTTGGTGGTGAGTACACCAGTAGGAGAATCACTATTAGCAAACAATATATATCGAGATTGTGGGATTAGGGTAAAGGAAAATGAGCTGAAGGCAAATTTAATACCTCTTGACATACATGATTTCGATGTTATCTTGGGTATGGACTTTCTGGCAACAAATCGAGCTTCAGTTGATTGCTTTCGAAAGGAGGTTGTGTTTAGGCAGCCAGGACAGCCTGAAGTTATATTCAGTGGACAGCGCAAAATTTTGCCGTCTTGTGTGATATCTGTTATTGACGCTAGAAGATTACTCAACAAGGGCTGCCATGCATATTTGGCTCATGTAATTGATACATCTATTAGCAAACTAAAACTTGAAGATATCCTAGTGGTCAAGGACTTTCCTGATGTATTTCCAGAAGAATTACTAGGCTTACCATCAGACAGAGATATGGAGTTCACTATAGATCAGATTTCAAGAACTGTACCTATTTCATGGGCACCCTATAGAATGGCACCAGCAGAATTGAAAGAGCTAATGGTTCAGTTGTAAGAGTTGGTAGACAAGGGTTTTATCAGACCTTGTATATCTCCGTGGGGAGCACCAGTTTTGTTTGTGAAAAAGAAAGATGGCACCATGCGACTATGCATAGATTATGACAATTGAACAAAGTGACAATTCGCAATAAATATCCTTTGCCACGTATTGATGATCTGTTTGATCAGCTTCGAGGTACTGCAGTATTTTTAAAGATTGATTTACGTTCGGGATATCATCAACTTAAAATTAGGGACAGTGATGTGCCAAAAACTGCTTTTAGGACAAGATATGGTCATTTTGAATTTCTTGTGATGCCATTTGGTTTGGCCAACGCACCAGCAGCATTTATGGATATGATGAATAGAGTGTTTCGCCCGTATTTAGATAGATTTGTAATTGTATTCATTGATGATACTTTAATATACTCTCGAGATCATGATGAGCATACAGAGCATCTCAGAATCATCTTGCAGACTCTACGTGTTGAGCAGTTGTATGCTAAATTCAGTAAATGTGAATTTTGGCTTGATAAAGTTGTATTTTTGGGACATGTAATATCAGCAGAAGGAATTTATGTTGACCTGCAGAAAACAGAGGCAGTGGTAAAATGGGAAAGACCTACTAATGTGACAGAAATACGAAGTTTTCTTAGCTTAGCAGGTTATTATAGTCGTTTTGTAGAGGGATTTTCTAAAATTGCTCTTCCTTTGACCAATTTGACTAGAAAGAATGTTAAATTTGTTTGGAATGAAGATTGTGAAAGAAGTTTCCTCGAATTGAAGAATAGATTAGTGTCAGCTCCGATTCTTACCCTTCCATCTTCCGGTGAAGAGTTTGTGATATATAGTGATGCTTCACGTTAGGGTCTTGGTTGGGTTTTGATGCAGAATGGGAAAGTTATAGCATATGCTTCCAGGCAGTTGAAGAAACACGAACTGAGTTATCCTACACATGACTTAGAGCTAGCTGCAGTTGTTCTAGCTTTGAAAATTTGGAGACATTACTTGTATGGTGAGAGATGCCAGATATATACAGATCATAAAAGCTTAAAGTATATTTTCGATCAGAAAGAGTTAAATTTGAGGCAAAGAAGATGGTTAGAGCTGATAAAAGATTACGACTGCAAGATTGATTATCATCCAGGGAAGGCTAATGTAGTTGCTGATGCTCTCAGTCGAAAAATCTCGAGTCCTATGAACCAGACTAATGCAGTATTTTCATCTTTGTTTGGTGAGTTCAGAGCTTCTCATGCTCAATTATCACTTACCAGTGTAGGAGCATTGTTTGCTAACTTTTAAGTGAGACCTACTTTGATTGACACAGTTAGAGAAACTCAAACTCAAGATCCAGTGTTGAGAAAATTGAAAGAAGAAGTTAGTAAAGGTAAGCATACAGATTATACCATTCGAGGTGATGGAGCTTTAGTTATGGGAAACAGATTATGTGTTCCAGATAATTCGAAATTGAAGGGAGAAATTCTAGAAGAGGCACATAGCTCAGCTTACGCGATGCATCCAGGTAGTATAAAAATGTATCGTGTACTCAAAGAACACTATTGGTGGCATGGAATGAAGAGAGAAATAGCTGAGTTTGTATCCAGATGTCTCATTTGCCAGCAAGTGAAACCAGATCGTCAGAAAACAGCAGGATTGTTACAAACGTTACCTATTCCTGAGTGGAAATGGGAACATATTACTATCGATTTTCTATTTGGACTTCCACGGACTCAGAGTGGACAGATTGACGAAGACTGCTAGATTCTTGCCTAGTAAAGTTACCTACTCGCTAGATAAATTGGCAACAATATATGTTGATGAGATAATCAATTTGTATGGGGCACCAGTATCTATTGTTTCAGATAGAGATTCTCGTTTCACTTCTAAATTTTGGCCCAGTTTGAAGAAAGCTATGGGTACTAAACTTCATTTCAGTATAGCTTTTCATCCACAAACAGATGGTCAGTCAGAAAGAACTATTCAGACTCTGGAAGACATGTTACGAGCTTGTGTACTACAGTTTAAAGGGAATTGGGATACTCATCTTTCTTTAATGGAGTTTGCTTATAATAACAGTTATCATTCGAGTATAGAAATGGCTCCTTTTGAAGCACTGTATGGTAGGAAATGCAGAACTCCAATATGTTGGGATGAAGTTAGTGAAAGAAAGTTATTGGGTCCTGAATATATCCAGATTACTGCTGAGAAAGTAAAGATAATTAAAGAAAAGTTAAAGACAGCCCAAGATAGACAGAAGAACTATGCAGATAGACGCAGAAGAAACCTTGAATTTGATGTTGGAGATAGAGTTTTCTTGCGATTGTCGCCATGGAAAGGTGTTATCAGATTTGGTAAACGACGTAAATTGAGTCCGAGATATATTGGCCCGTATGAGATTGTTGAACGCATCGGTCCAATTGCATATCGATTGGCTTTGCCAACAGAATTGTCCAGAATTCATGATGTATTCCATGTTTCGTAAGTATATTCGAGATTCATCTCATGTTTTGGAATCACAACCAGTAGAACTAAAGGAAAGTCTTACCTATGAAGAAAAATCAGTTCAGATATTGGATAGAAAAGAACAGGTTTTGCGTAGTAAGACTATTCCTTTGGTTAAAGTCTTGTGGAGGAATCATGCTATAGAAGAAGCGACATGGGAAAGTGAAGAGCAGATGCGTTCTTAGTATCCCCAGATTTTTCATACCTAGTTGATCGAATTTCGAGGACGAAATTCTTTTAAGGGGGTGAGTTTTGTAATATTCTAGTCAATTCAAAAAGAAAAGTCAAACTTAAAAAAAAAAGAAGACAAAAGACAAAAAAAAAAGTGACAGGCGGTGGAAACTAATACAAATCAAAACCAAATTCATAACACACACATATCACACAACACACACAAGAACAGACCAGAGAAGAAAAAGAGAAAGGAAAAAGAGGGGGGAAAAAAGAAAAAAAAAGGGAAAATTTGCCAATGTGTTAGGAATTAAGTGCTCTATCCTATTAGGCTTGAATTTCTCAATTTTGAAAGATAAGTAAAAAGTTATTTATTGTTAAGTTATGTTTGATTTTGTAGTTGTTAGATTGTTAGGTTAAATTTAATTTTATTGAAGGAGTTAAGTGTAATAAACTATGAAATTGAATAAAATGAAAGAAAAATTAATTTTAGTAATTAAAGAGACGTTAAAAATCGTCGAAACGTGAAATAATTATGTTTGGATATCGCCTATTTAATTAATGAAATTTCTTAAATTAGTTAATTGTTGATTCAAAAATTATATTATATTGCAGGCGGCGATACGAATATTGGGACAGCGTATCAATCGAATTGATTTTGGCGTACATAGTTCTGTGAGTGGAAAAATATAAATATTTTTAAAGTATTTATAAATTAAGTATATTGTTAAAGTATGTGCAATTATATGAAATTATGTGTTCAAATTACATAGATATTATGGAAGTATCTTTTATTATGATACATGCGAATTTTAAAGATTGTATACAGTACATTGTGAATTGGAGTATGAGATATGATTTTGAGATCGACCAGAAAAGTACCCGTGATTATATATTTCTTCTAGTTCACCGAGGGGCCTTGGTCGTGTTTTATACTACACTGAGGGGTCATGGACCGGGGATGAAAGGGTCTCGACCGTGTACATATAGTTCACTGAGGGGCCTTGGCCGTGTTCTAGAATTGATTTTGAGAGGTTTTTGAGACCGACTTTCGTTCACGGAGGGGCCAAAGGCCCGTGGCAAAAGTTCT